TACATCAAACTGTAAAACATTATATATGTATGCATATATTATTTTTGGTTTTTTAAGACTATACACACACATGAACACATCATAAAGCCATTAAAAGAAATCTAAAAGAATGGACACCTCTGTGGAAAGGGTGTAGGATAGGTTTTACTTCATACTTCATGTACTTTGTATTGTTTGAGTTTATTTTATAATAAACTCCACATAATAAACAACCATAATGAATTGCACTTGTGATTTTCTTTAAGATTTTGTTTTTGGGGGGCGCCTGGGTGGCTCAGTCGGTTAAGTAGCTGACTTCAGCTCAGGTCATGATCTTGGGGACCTGGGATCGAGGCCCCTCATTGGGTTCCCCACACAGTGGGGGGGTTTTCTTGTCTTGTTCCCTCTGTCCCTTCACCCACTCATGAGCACTTGCTCTCTCTTCCTCCCTCTCCCTCTCTCTCTCAAGTAAATAAATATTTTTTAAAAATTTTTATTTTTTTTCTTTTTAGTAGGCTCCATGCCCAACGTGAGGATTGAACTCACAACCCTGACATAAAGAGCCCCATGCTCTACAGACTGAGCCAGCCAGATGCCCCCTGCATTTGTAATTTGTAAAAATAAAGAAAAGATGCTTAAAAACCACTCCAAAACGAAATTACAAATGACTGACAACTTTGCTGTTGTTATTATTTATCACTGTGCTGTTTAAATATTCCTGAGACATCTCCAACTATAGTGAATACTTGTTCATTAAATCCAGGTAGGGTTCATGGTTTTCAGCAAATGTTCCCCAAAAGCCTTATTCTCATGAATATATAAATATATACATATATAATTTATGGGTAAATAGATTTATTGAGATTTGTAACCTAGCAATGTGCTCATTAAAATTTATTTCTTAAAGGTCATAATCCTTCTATGGACCATAAATACCAATTTATTAGGCAAAAGCTGAAGCTAGACATGTTGTAATCACTCCTATTTATTCATGTAATTGCCGCCTTTCCCCCAGATGCCACACAGCCAGGAGGGACATAGAAGAAATTCTATGGTGTTACAGCTCCTTCAGTGGTGAGCAGGCAGTGACTGTAGCTGGGGGGTGGCCTAATTTCCCCAGGTGGGTTATTAGCACCAGCAAATCCCTTCAAAGGAAGCTTCTAAAACAGTGGTCATAATCTTTTCGGGGCCATAGACTCCCTAGAGGTAGTCCTGCAGGGTGTGGGGTTGAAAAGAACATGAGCTTTGCAACTGGACAAATCTTTGCTCAAATCCCAGCTCCACTGCTTATTTAATAGGTGACATTAAGCAATTTTACTTAACCTCTTTGAGCTTCTCTTCCCTCATCTATGAAATGCCTGGCATGCGGCAAGAACTTCATAAAAAGGAGCAATTATCATATTATTTTTTAATAGGATGGAAACTATAGACTCTGTCCTCAGAGAAAAGAATCCATCTTGTATTTTTAGTATGTTGCATGCGATTTCAAGGGCTCTGCCCACCCATCAAGGCCATTCTGGACATCCGGTTAGAAACCCCTGGTCTAAGGTTTAGAAAGAACATCTGAAGACACCTGAATAGTAAAAATAATGTTTTCCACTCCTTTTTCTGGTTGTCATTTTAGGTTGTGCTTTCTTTTCCTTTTTGTTGTGCTGGATTATTTGTGTATAATGCCTACTGGAACTCAGGCAGACCAAGAGGATAGGTTGTACATTAAAGAGGATACAAAAGGGCACCTGGGTGTCTCAGTTGGTTAAGCGCCTGCCTTCGGCTCAGGTCATGATCCTGGAGTCCCGGGATCGAGTCCCGCATCGGGCTCCTTGCTCAGCAGTGAGTCTGCTTCTCCCTCGGACCCTCCCCCCTCTCATGCTCTCTCTCTCTCTCTATCTCATTCTCTCTCTCAAATAAATAAATAAAATCTTTAAAAAAAAAAGAGGATACAAAAGAGCAGAGTAAATGAGGGTTGTCTCACACTTTAACAACATCAGTTAGATTTAGCGATTTGCCAGCAAAGTGGTAGGAAAGGCCACGGCAATTCACTGGCCGGATTAGGTTTTCAAAGACCACTGCTAAGCACATGGATTTAATAGAGCCATACTTCCGGTTCTTTAGATCAAAGATAAAGTTACTTTAAACTACTTTGGCTGAGCTGTTCAGGCTTAACCTACTAGTCCCTAGCTCCGTTTTGTAATCAGAGCCAGCTAGCACTATTCTCTTTTATTTTCAAGGCTTCAGAAAAGAGGAAAACCAAATGCCTCCAGGTAGTCGCTCAAAGGAATAGCTTTCCTGTTCCTTTGCATTAGTCTGATCTCAAAGAAACACAGAAACCCCCTGGAATGTGCCTCTGCCATTAATTCAAACAGCACTCGGACTGCTGGTGAAAATATATCTCTGTAGTCTGTGAGAACCTATTAGGCGTGGATCTAGCCCCCATTCCCTCAATACCCCCCCAAAAATTCCCTAGGAATTGTAAATAAAACCTAAGAATGAGTAAACATTTCAGGAAATGGGGAAAAAAATCCCATCTTAATGCTGTTATCACTGACTTTACCCACACTCAGGACAGCTGCTGCTGAGGGTGGAAAAGATTGGCTCTGAGGGGAGAACAGGGTTGTACAGAGAAAACCAATCCTATATTTTCTCATCAAAATGGGAAAGAAGGAGAAAAATACATGTGTCATTCCAAAGAGCCAGTTTTCTTACAAGAACTCCATCCCAAACAGTTCCTAACATCATCATTGCTCATGAAAGAAAAATGAATTGGTTTATAAATCCCATTACTTGCTAAAAGGAACCAGGACTCTTCGGTAAAATGGCTGATTCTTGCGCTGAGCAGAGAAAGTACAAGATGAGCCTATAATATCTTGTGCTAAAAGTAAGGAAGTACTCAAAAAATGATGGGAACGTGTCAAAAGGACACAAGAGCCAGATGGAAGGCCAACTTGAACATCAAAATAAATGACAGCAACAGATTGTAACCCATTGAATAAGGTAAGAATCCATGAGTTCATGCTGGTATAAACACATAAACAACTGAAGGAATAGGTAAGTAAATGTGGAAGAAGAAAACACTCTTCACTGCAATAGAACACTAACTAAAAAATGTTGAAAAATGATGGAGTTTTAAAAATCAACATTTTGTGACTATTGTATAAGCCATTGAGTCAAGTATCATCGATAGATGTAAAACTACTGGGTGAAAGTTTGATAACAGGGGCACCTGGGTGGCTCAGTTGGTTGGGCATCTGCCTTCCTCTCAGATCACGATCCCAGATTCCTGGGACCGAGCCCCGCATCAGGCTCCTTGCTCAGTGGGGAGCTTGCTTCTCCCTCTGCTTGCTGCTCCCCCTGCTTGGGCGCTCTCTCTCTCTGACAAATAAATAAATAAAATCTTTTTTAAAAAAGTTTGATAACAACAGGATATTTACATAGCCTCCAAATATCTCTCCAGAAGTTAGTTATTTTAAAAAAGATTTATTAATTTATTTGGGGGGGAGGGGCAGAGGGAGAGAATCCTCAAGCAGACTCTCCACTGAGAGTGAAGCCCAATCCCACAACCCATGAGCTCATGACCTGAGCCAAAACCAAGAGTCAGATGCTTAACCGACTGAGCCACCCAGGTGTCCCTCCCCAGAAATTAGTTATTAATTACAGAGGGAAAAATAGTAACAGTGGAGAAATCTAGAAAAAATAGCTATAAAAGAAATCAGTAGGACAATTGGTTAAATTTGAATATTGATGATGAATTAGATACTCATACTATATCAATGTACAGCAGTAAGAGAATGTCCTTATTTTTTTTTAAAGATTTTTATTTATTTATTTGAGAGACAGAAAGTGAGAGAGAGAGCACATGAGAGTGGGGAGGGTCAGAGGGAGAAGCAGACTCCCTGCTGAGCAGGGAGCC